TAAACTTATTTAAAAAAAAAAAAAAGCTGCCAGATGCCAAGCCACAACTACACAACACGTGCCTGGAGATGCCTCCAGGTTTCATTCTTGACTGAGGGCCTGCTGTGCACCCGGCCTGCAAACAGAGTAGCAGAGAACGCAAACAGGTCCCGCTCTCATGGCTCCAAAGCCCAGTTACCTCAAACCGTATGTGCCAGATGCCAGAAGAAGAGAGAAGGGAAAACAAGAAACAAGAGACAGAATAGGCAGGGCCTGGAGGAAGGGAGGGGAGCGGCCTGGCCTTTGTTGAGAGAAACAGTGTCAGTTTTCACTGTGATGACAGAAACAAGGATAAGCCTGGCAGGAATTTATTAAGGGCCAAGGGCCAAGGGCGTGTGCAGCTTGTCTCCCCTAAGCAACTTTCTTCCATCCTGTAGAGATGATGGGTGCCCTTATCTGGCCCACTGCTTTACCAGACAGCCACTAGCTCAGAGGCTGTGCCAGACCAAAGGGCCTTCCCTCCGCGCAGGGGGCAGAGCTGAGGCACTGCGTGTTTAAACCTGCAGCACCTCTCAGGACACATGTGGTGCCTGGACAGCTACTTTCCTCCACGGCTACTTCTGACTCTCCTAACAAGGCAGGGACTGTGTCCTGTCTGTTGCCAGTGTCGAGTATGTGACAAGTATTCACTTGGCGTCAGCTGAATTGGAGTCACTGAATCCCCTTTAGAACAGCTTCAGCGGGAACATTTGCAAACGGACACCACTGCACGTTCACGGGCCTGGTCCTGCGGGCTCAAGCCCTGAGCACAGAACCTACCACCCCAACCTCCTTCACTAGGTGTGAGACTCAGTATTCTCTGGTCCTTGTCACAGTCTAACCAGACTCTCTTCCACTGTGCTGTCACTTTTTTCTTTTTCTTTTTTTTGTCATTCCAGTGTAGCAACTGTATTACACACTTTGCTCGTCACTTCTTTCCACTTTGGCTGTTTTTTCAAGTAAAGGTGAATGAAAGCTATCATCTGATAGCAGTTATGAACTATGCTAATAGTTGTAATTGTCAATTTCATTTTTCTATTCCAATGGGAAGTGCATACTGCATAAGTTTATTTGTGTTTAACAAGGCAGCAAAGTACAAAGATTGAGAATGTAAAAAGGGCCTCCCTGGTGTGTGGGGTTTAAGTTCCAGCACTATCATGCTGTCACTGCTGTGGTCTGAGTTCAATCCCTGCCAGAGAGCTGACTCCCATGGTGCAACAGACCTCTCCTGACTCCCCGCTGCTCCCCTTAGCTGTGGGTTTCAGTAGCTCTGCCTGTTCTGCTCCCCACTCTGTCTCTGGTGAAACTTCTCACCCCTTGTACTGCTGCCCTACACCCCAGTTCTTCTATGCATAAGTAACTAAATAAATAAATCCTTTAAAAATGAAGTAAAATGTAAAACTCGATCTAAGTCAAGTTCAGGGTTTGAGGCTTCGGCCTGTCTTTCATTTATCGCATGGCTTTATGCAAATCGCCTCTTTCTTTGCCTCATTTTTTTTCCTGAGGGGGCGGGCCAGTGATGGTCCCTTTCAGCAAGGAATTGCTGAAATGCTCTAAGAACAGAGTTCCATGAGGCATCTCTACACATTCTAAGAAATGAAATGCATGTAAGGCAGGCGTCCTTGACAAAGTGCTACCATGCCTTTCCCCAACAAGTCACTAACGGCAGAGTTTCTGGCACAGGGGATGCAACAGAAAATTCCAACGTTTCCAAATTCATTTAGGGAGACCTTTACGTGGAAGCTGGGCTTTAGTGCATGCCAGTGGAAAGGTTTTTCTGGATGCCCCGTTTCTTCACACAGTCATACTAACAATACCTAACCCAGAGGGCCAGTGTGAGACTTCATTTGTTCAAAATATGCAGTGTCCAGAACAGCATCTGATAGAGTAAACAAGATACAGATGTTTGCTATCAGTATTGCTTTGCCACTGTTGATACTATCATCATTTCAGGCTCTGAGAACTCTGGAGGGAAGAAGGGTTTATCCCTGATGATAAAAGCATGTTCCCTTACTGATAAATATTGGCAGTTAACCTAAGGAAAGAATTCTTGCACTTGCTTGAAATACAAAGACCGAAAGCAAATGGCTGATTCCGAGATGCTTTATCTTCTGCAAGCCCTGTACCCACACCTGTTCTTACTGTTTTTGGTCTCGAGGTATCATGAAAGTCATCTGGGAGAAAAGCTACTTGACTCAAGAGGCACTGAGGGTAATTAGATGGCTTTTAAAACTATTTTGGATTCTTCTTTAGAACGTGATAATGAAGCCAGGCTGGTTCTTTAATGCTTCTCATACTGACAGACTTAGACTTACTTGTCTTTGTCACCACCACAGTGCAAAAGGGAACCACACTTTTCAGGAAAACCACATCTCATCCTACTTGGAGGACTTACTCAGTGGCCAAAGGTAAAGCCAAAAGAGAAGAGAGAAGACAGCTCTGATACACTATTCAAAGAAAATGGTCACTGTCACATTTTTATTGTAGTGTTGCATATTTTATAAATAAATGCAATTATCACCCCTTTCCTTGCAAGGCCAGTGACTGGGAGGCAGCAGGCACTTAACCATTTATTATCAGATGAATGGAAAAATGAATGGCATTGTGACCACTGACATTTCAGAGAGGAGGGATGGGTGTAGGGCCCAATGGCTAGTGCCACATCCCACCATGCACCGAGGGGCCTTTTTAAAAATTTGCTAGTGATTCCTCAGCCTCTGTCCAAACTACCAATTTTATTTTATCATTTCCTTTCTGCAGCAAAATATCTACAAACAATCCTTCTGTGACTCGTGACTCAGATTTTAAAGACTCACCTGTGACAATGTTCATGCCACCAGTTCTGGAGGCAGACAGGCTGAGTTCTTGATCCTGACTCGAATTCTGGCTGCAGACAGTGAAATTACCATTTGCAAAATGAACATAGTAATAGCATCTACTTTGTACAATTGTTGCGGAAATGAATTAAAACAGTCTACATCAATTACTTAGGTTCCTAGCAAGTACTTGACGGATGTTATTTTATTCTTATTAGAAGTCAGGAATCCTGGGCCTCCCGGGTGGCAGCCACTGCAGCATGGTTCAATTCCCAGCCAGAAA